CTCACCTCCATACACTCACCTCCCCTCGCCTCCATACACTCACCTCCCCTCACCTCCATACACTCACCTCCCCTCACCTCCATACACTCACCTCTCATCACCTCCATACACTCACCTCCCCTCACCTCCATACACTCACCTCCCCTCACCTCCATACACTCACCTCCCCTCACCTCCATACACTCACCTCCGCTGAGCACCACACACTCACCTCCCCCAACGCCTCACCCTACAACATAGTCTAAACTCACCCCCACGCCAACCCTATAACAGGGTCTCACCACTCCCATTATTTAGCTTGCTTTCTTACTCATGCCCTACGTCAAAGTGTGTGGCATTTTTCCTAACCCACGTATCACCTGGGTCAGAGCTGCGAGGCTCATATATCCTCTATGCTATCGCGTGTAGATTGGACGTGCTTTTATTGCATGTGCGTGTATAATGGGATGTAATGAAGCTGTAAACTCAGTGATAAAGTATAGCTTTCTATCTAACCCATGAACCACCCCGCAGATCACCCACTTACTCATGCATTGCTTCCACCACCTCTCCCCTCAGTCACAGCATGTTCTATATATACGAAACCTTGAGGCTTTCTCTCTACCCCATGCCCCCACCCCATCCATAGTTCACTCTTCCACGTCTTCTTCCTCTAAACCGCTGACGATTAACAAATTGTCATCGCTACATTAAAATCACCACCAACGATTTTACACGAATTTAAGCGGGTGCAAGATTCGGAGAGAGAATAATTCAAAGCGGTGGTGACAACAGCAGCAGCCTCCCCTGCCCCCCGCAGCATGTGCTCTGAGTGAGGGTCTGTATCTGGCTCTCCCACTCACCCTTCATGCCCGCTGCGTAACCGAGGTCCCAGCGGCGCGCACCGTATCAGCATTAACAGATTACTAATGGTCAGATGAGAAAATTACGAGCTCGTAATGGAAATCTTGGCACGCCTAATTCAATCCAAACAAAAGCAGAATTCGATTGCCTAGCTGCTGCTCTGCGCCAGCGCGTCGTCATTTAAAATTCGCGAAACAAGCGCGTAATATGATGAGACACAAAATCTACATGCTAACAAGATTTCTAATTTGGCGCGCAAACATCCGGCGAATATTCGTAGAGCTGATATGGCCGATGGATGTATGCATGGTCGCCAGGGAGGTGGGTGCCAGATGCCAGCAAGCCTGCAGACGCCATTTCCAATGGCAGCAGGGGACAGAGTTTTCGCGCAGGTTCCAAATTGTAATTAATTGATCATTTAATGCCAGGATTCGCGACGCCCATAATTGACCAACGCCGCTAGAGGTCACCACTAAGAACTCAGTAGGTGCTGGCGGTCATTTGCGACGTGCGTGCCCATCTAATGCTGCTAGATGGCACCACTAATAGCTCAATAATATAGTCACTTTACCCTTTATAAAGCGACTCTGTTCGGTAAATGCTATGTGGGTCATGTAGGTTGGAGGGGCACTATTTGTGGTGCATTATAACATTTAGGTCTTAACCCATTGTGCAAATAATTTCAATTACAATTAATAGCTTTCATGCTAAGCACACTTTCTTGTAACTCGATATATAGACAGAAACAGAAAAAGTAAATAAATATGGTAAAATTGTATATTCATCATTGTTTTTCTTTGTAAAAGAAATTTCATGTAAAACTCTGAAATAAAATTCTGATGATAACCACATACTGCAGCAAACTGGCAATTGTCTTCTTGGTTATATGATGAGATATTTACCATACGATGATCACAGACATCCAAAAATACCCCTACATGCACGCTTGCACAAACACATCGACGAACAAGCACGTTCCATTATCGTACATCCTTGCAAAACTTACGATGTTAATTTCTAGCAAAACACCTGCATCCGATCCTGTAATCGTATATCAGTAAGTTTTGCATCTGCAAACCAGTGTATATATAATATATATATACATATTTATATATACATGTTTATTGTTCTAATCTTACAAAAATCGTTCAGATAAATCATATGCGCCTCGTATCATATACAGTTACAGCCAGAAACCGTTCCTGCGACAGCTTCATCAACGACTCAGTTAATTAACATCTTTCACTTGCGTATCTTTGTTAGATGCCGGCGTAGTTCCTTCCCCAGCGGCCCTCAGCTGAGCTCTCTTCATCTTGTAGTGCTTCCTCGACTTCATATGATCTAGCAAGTTCGTAGAGATTTTGGTAAGATATCACGTGCTGCTCCTCATAGACACATTTTCCCCAATTCCGTCCCATTTCCCTCCACCTTCCTTTCCCAGTCTCCTCCCCCTCTCCCATCGTCTATGCTATGTAGTTCCATTATAAAGTAAAGATGCTCCATTAATCACAAACATGTATCAAGCAATGTATATATATAGCAGTAGAGTCACTGGCTGTAGGATGAAGTCTGCCCCATTAATACTCACGCTGTACATGTATAACTATGTACGTTGTATATATAGTATTATGGACTGTTGTGTTGCCTACAATATGTCTAACGAGATATAGTTTGAATATATATATATATATATATATATATCAGCACATATCACACGTTTTATATTATAGCTTAGGATTGTACGAGTATGAGTTCGTGTCGGGCAGACTTCGCCATGCAGCCTGTAGGTGGCGACACTTACTCTCCCAATGGATCCTGCCGACGAACGTGCGACTGCAGACGTCACAGTTCAAGGTGACCTCATCGTTGTCGATCGGCTGCCGGCACGGCTCCGCTGCGCAAGGCGATTCTCGCCCCTGACGTTTCACACGTGCCGCAAACAAACAAACAATGCGCGCGTATTAGCAACACAGCGACGGCGGCGGGTGACAACAATGGCCGCCTCTCGACGCACTTTGCGCTCGCTCTCGCGCGCGCAACACCTGACAGCGTGCTGCTGATTTCTGCTAAACCTCTCTCGCTGCGCGAACGAACAATGGGGAGTGTTGAACAATTGGGAGAGAAGAACAACAGGGAGAGGAGAACAACAGGAGGAGGAGAACAATGGCAGGACATTAAAAATGAGTGTGTGTGTGTGTGTGTGTGTGTGTGTGTGTGTGTGTGTGTGTGTGTGTGTGTGTGTGTGTGTGTGTGTGCATGTGTGTGTGTGTGTGTGTGCATGTGTGTGTGTGGCTTGCGCTAGGCTGCATCCCTGCCGTTAACTTACAGTTAAGGGCAGGAAAGCCTCGATGGCGGCATTTCATTAGTAGATACACAGATTTTGTTGACCCTCGTTGCCATGCGTAAACATACATCACACGCTGCACTGACATGAGTAATGGTTGTCGCTACTTGAAACATACATAAACTTGTACACACTCACGTCTAAAGCACATGCATGACAAGGGATTATGGTAATTGCTAACATAGTTGTCAGCAGTGAGTTTGCGTGTGTGAGTGATATTAATCGATCACCTCAGAATATACGACATCATCGAACCACGATATTTCCACCCCAGCCAATAACAACCATCTAACCAATAACAAGCATCTAATCGTGCTTTTCTCATCCTAGCTTTACGTCGTGGGTGCATGCGCAATCGAGCAATAAGTTACGGATGGGGAACCACCGCGTCTAGCGTGTTTGCGTGAGCATGCGGGGTTACCTCGAGGAACGCCTGTATTATCTCCTCGGCTGGCTGAGACACGGCCTCCTCCCAGCGCGTTGGATCGGTCACGTCGAGCCGGTACACAGGCGGCACCTGTCTGTCGGGTCCTGCGTGACAAGAGAACGTGCTACACTGCTGCACACTCGGCGAGGTCCGGCGAACAACCCCGCCCAAGTAAAAGCGAGAGGCTTTCTAATGGGGAATCCTGACACCCGTTGTCAGAGGCATCGTAAATAGTTACGTTGATCCGGCACTTTTTAGTGTTGATAATTCGTCTGTCGTGACCTTTCTGCACAACACCTCACATCGAAGGTCACGACATCTCGTACGTACGTCACAATTATTTACGATGGTTCTAACAACGAGCCCTATTACAGAAATTAAAGCAACCCCATCCAGGTGGCAGCACGCCCTATGCTCTAACAATGTAACCAAAATAACAATAAAAGCACCTCCGCGTAACGTTCTGGAGTTATTCGGTTGCTGGTGGAGCATCGCACACTCAAACGACCTTCACACGATGCGATCAAGACCGCTCAACCGCGAGGCGAGATGGACTGACCGTAAGCATCGCGTAAAGCAGCTAAACTGCGTAATAGACCTGTCCATAAGAGGGAGATAACGACACCGCCGTAGGATAACGCTGTTAGCTCGGCCGAGCTAGACCAGTTTTTAAGCGGTTTTCACGCACAAATGCGAAAACGCTACATTCCTCAGAGAGCAGCGGGCGGGCAGCTTCATCGCACACGTTCACGCTACGTAGTGCACTCCAACCACACAGCATGAAGTTAGGTGGGTCAGAATTCACGAGGGACGAACCACTCCAACACCATGACACGAAGTAAGGGGGGCGATTCACTCCAACCCTACGGCACGAAGTAAGGGACAGAATGACAGCATTCCCAAGGGGGCGAGCCAGCGCAGAATTCCGCGGGGAGGAGGGGGAAGTGGAGGATTCCGCAGGGAGGAGAGGTGGGGGGATGCCGAAGGAAGAGGGGGTGGGGAGATTCTGCGGGCTGTGACGGCGGATTCTGCGGGAAGGGAGACAGGTGGGGGATTCCACAGGGGAGGGGAGGTGAGGGGATTCCGCAGGAAAAGGGGAGGTAGGGGGGATTCCACAGGAAGGAAGAGGTGGGGGGATTCCGCAGGAAAGGAGGAGGTGGATATTCCCGCAGAGAGGGGAGTGTGGAGCGATTCACGCGAAGGGAGGGGAGTGATGAGGTGGAATTCTGTGGGGAGGTGGGGGATTCTGCAGAGGAGGGAAGACGGGGAGGTGTATTCTGCGGAGGGAAAGGGGAAGGGGAGATCGACAGGGGACGGCGGAGGGATGGGGGAATTCCGTGGGGAAGGTAGGGGGGTTCTTGCAGAGGAAGGCGGGAGGTGGGCGAGATTTCTGGGGGGAGGGGGATTCCGCCAGGGAGGGGAGGTGAGGTATTCCATGGGGAGGTGGGGGAGGTGAGAGGGAGATTCTGCAGGAAGAAGGGGAGGTGCAGAAGAGAATGTCCGCAGGGGGACATAGGTTGGGGGGATTCCAATGGGGAGGTGGGGATGGCGTGGAGGCGGATTCTGACCGGAAGGGGAGGTGAAGGGATTCGCGGGAGGCGGAGACGGTTTGGGCGGGATTCTGACAGGGAGGAGAGGTAGGGGAGATTCCGAGGAGAGGGGACAAGGTGAGGGTTAATTCCGGGGGGTGGGGGGATTACTGCGAGGGAGCGAGGAGGTGGGGGGATTCTTGCAAAGGAGGGAGAGTGGGGGATCGCAGGGAAGGAGGTGGGGGGATTCAGTGGGGAGGTGGGGGGGATTCTGCGATGAGCGGGGTGGGGGATTCCGCAGGGAAGGAGGTGGGGCGATTCCGTGGGGAGGTGAGGGGATTCTCGGGGGTGGGGATTCCTGGGGGAGGGACTGGTTCGGGGAGATTCTGCCAAGGAGGGAGGAGGTGGGGGGATTCTGCGGGCAGAGGGAGTGGGGATTCTGAGGGGAGGGGGTGGGGGATTCTGCCGGGGAGTGGGGGATCTGCGGGGACGGGGACGGGTAGGGGGTTCCGCATGAGAGGAGAGGTCGGTGATCGCAGGGGGGGAGTGGCGGGAATTCCACAGGAGGGAAAGTGGTGGTGGATTCATGGGAAGTGGATCGAAGCGGGGGATTCTGTGGGAGGAGGGGGAAACAAACCCACAACCAAAAAAAAAACACAAAAAAATCCAAACACAAAAAATCAACAAAAGGCCAAAGCGGAGGGGGAGGTGGAGGAATTCGAGGGAGGGGAAGAGTGGGGGATTCTGCCAGGGAGCGGAGGTGGGGGATTCCACTAGGAGGGCGAGGTGGTGGGGATTCTGCAGGAGGGGTTGGGGATTCCGCAGGAGACGGGAGGTGGGGATTGTTCATGGGGAGGCTATGGTGAGCGGGGATTCATGTGGCGGGAGGGGGAGGTAGACGTGGGGGATTCCCCGGGAGGTGGGGCAGGGGGATTCTGTGGGGAGGAGAGGGGACGGTGGTAGTCCGTAAATTTCCCCGGGAGTGGGATCCGGGTTGGGGATTCTGTGGGAGTAGGGAGAATGTGAAGAGGGGATTCTGCGAGGGTGGTGGGGGCAGTGGGATCCGCGGGGAAGGGGTGGATTCCGCCGGGGAGGGGGAAAGGGATTCCCCGGGGAGGGGGGAGAGGATTCGGTACTCACGTCGCAGGAAACCGGTTGAGGATCCACTTAACCTGCTTGCGCGCGTACTTCCTCGTCACCTGCTTCAGCTGGCTCAGGTGCTGCAATTAAGGCCGCGGTCGCGTCGCAAGTAACGCCTGAGTAGCATTTAAAGCTACGCGGCATCATGCTCGCGCCCGCTTCAGCTTTTTTTGCAATGCAGTAAATATTTGTAGTAGTTATTCTGCTTGTTAGGCAGCTCGCAAGACCTAGTAGGACAGGAGCGCGATGCCGAGGGCTCTCTTGTGAGCGAGTTTCTCGTTATACGAGGCGCGACACGTTTTCATCGCTTGCGCTTTACAAGTTCATGTCTACGAACAATGCAATTCCTCCTGTTAAATATTCGCTCAAATCATTGAGCGCTCGCCTTTCACCGCTACGTATCCTCTGCGATGCTAAATACGCAGACTCCCTCCGTACCGATCGAGATGTTACTGATCCCCTCTTTTTTGTTCGTCTCTCTCCGCTTCCCATCCTGCTTCGCTCCCTTCGCCCTCTGTCCTCCTCTAACTCGCTCCTCTGCCCTCTGCTCCTCCTCCTTCGCTCCCCCTTGCCCTCTGCTCCTCCTCCTTCGCTCCCCTTGCCCCCTGCATTTCCCCATCACTGTTACGCGCTGCTACTTTACCTTGCTGCAGTAACTTCTGTCCATCTCGCGTTTCATTCTCTTTGTCCGTACGCATAAGAAACTCGTGGTACTCCTTAAAACCAATACTCTGCCATATGCCCTTCCTGTAGTCGGCGTCCCTGCGACGAAAAACGATACGACTCGATAACGCGAGACTCAAAATTCCAATTAAATGCCTGCCGCCACGTTTTTCTACCCGCGCGGAAAAAAAAAGTGCATTGCCGCGGCAACGAGCACTCACTTGTTCTCGTGCAGTCGGCGACAATTGTACTGCGTGTGGAAGTTTGTCAGCTCCTCTATCAGACCATGCTGTATCATCGAGTCAACGCGCCGGTCCAACCTCTCATCCAGTACTGAAACAAAGCAACAGATAGCTCTGAGTTACAATTATTTCCAAGTGACTGTAGTTCCTGAGTAACATGTATCTCTGAGTAACAGATAGCTCTGAGTAACAGATATCTCTGAGTAACAGATAGCTCTGAGTGACTGGTATCTCTGAGTAACAGATACCTCGGAATAACAGATATCTCCAAGTAACAGATAGCTCTGAGTAAGAGGTATCTACAATTAAGTAACAGATAGCTCTAGGTATCAGAATGCATATATAGCTTAACAGTAATAAATTGAGACATTTTTCATTTTGTATATCGACACACATTTTGTTGCTAAAGCTGATCATACATTATTGCTGCTGATACTGAGTATTGTCGATATTGCTCTTGTGTTCGCTCAGGTTACTAGTGTTACTAGTTGTTACTGGTGTTGTTGGTGTTACTTTTTGATGTTGATGATGTTGTCATTGTTGCCGCTGCTGTCACAGGATACAGGTGTGTTCGTACCTGCCTGCTCACTGTGCAACCACAAAATACAAGTGTGTTTGTACCGGCCTACTCACAGTGCAACCACGTACAGAATACAGGTGTGCTTATAGCGCAGTGGTCCACCAAGAGAGCTTCCCCCAGCCATCTGTCTCTGCTCCCGCAGGATATCACTGTGGAGTTTCCCGTGCTGTTCAAAGACCTGCAGACTCCTGCAAAATCAACACCATGGAAAATTGCAATTAACCTACCAGATGAATAATACGTGATACGATGAATATATCATGTAGGCTCTTCCATGTCTACAGCATAGTAATATATTTCTTTGACTATTGTTTTTATATTCGTGTTAGTAGGGTATATTTCCCGGCTTATTGGTCCTGTTTTTCTCCCTCAGAATGTCTCTGAAAACAACATTATTGGGTTCTATATAAGCTGAAGGTTGGTGAATGGATGAATATATTAGTTTAGCTATGATATTTTAGCTACAATATGAAACATTATACACCTCAGCTCAACCTAGAACCAGTTTTTCGCATTTATAGATATTATTTTGCATATATACGATTTTTCGCACAATCCTACTGACTCTGATGCAAGGGGGAGTTGTTAGCCTCATGTTGACAAAGTAAACCCATTTCTACAGCAGGTGTCAACTGAAGCCAATAGGGATAGATTAGGAATAGCTCAACGGCAGAGGGACTGCAGTGGGACCAATACTCCAAATCTTTCAGCCCCATGTAAAGTGTGTGAGCCACTAGACCACCATTGCCTCCACCCACCACTGAAAAAGGTGTGCAATCGTGAGAGTGCAAACCTTATTATCTTGCGCTTGTTCCTCGGATGCAGACGGTCGGCCATTACCGGGTCAACGGATTTCAGCCGCGCGTGAAGCTCCTCGCTCCCTACTGCCTCCATGTTATCCTGCGTTACTGTGGCAACTGCCTCTTTCACGTCGTCACTCTGCCTGGTGACCGGGATGTCTGCACCTGAGCACATATGTAGTATTTAAACGTATTATCATGTAATCTTTGGTGCTTAGTCTATTAGGGGGTTTTTAATGCCTTTCGATACAAAACAAAATGTAGAAGGACCTGCTGAGGTCCTCAAGTCGACATTGGTCATTCGCCACTAACTACTCAATTTTAAGACAAAGTAAACTTTTTGGGCCTAAGCTTTATAGTAACTAAAGCAGTGGAACTACACGACTTAGTGCGTACCCAGGTTTCCTGCTTAATTTTACATCTTTGAATGTATAAATGTTTACACCGACGTGTAAAATACGGGCCTGGCCCATCTCTATGGAGCGCATATGCACTGTGCTGCTCATGTAGTAGCTCTAGTACAATAGCCCGCATACAGTTGCCGCAGGCAATAGTACCTGTGGCAACTGTACGCAGGCTATAGTAATAGAGCTACTCATGTAGCATCTACTAGCATACTATAGCCATCGAGCTCCAAGTCCAATTAGCAATTTACTATGCGTCAAATATGTATACAGCTTGCATGCAAGCTAGCAATGAAATCGGAAAGAAGAGTGAAGCGTGCGGGGGTATTAGGTGATAATCCACACCGAGTTCGTGCCAAAACGACCACAATCGCATCGATTGCAATCATTGCAGTTCGCACGTGGCGCCACCTAGTGCGCAATATTTTCTTTAACAGCTCAGAGACTTCAAATGTGAAACTGTTCATATTTTCATTTTGAATATTGGTGAAATGATAATTGGAAGGCATGCGCCGAAATAAGACTGTACACGTACCATTGTCTGATGACGAAGAAACAGCAGAGTCACTGCATAGTGACTTATCCCTGTTATACAACAGCTGATCTTGATTCTGAAACCAGAAATCATGATGAATCCGAGGCATGCCGATCTGTAAATTCAATACCATTTTGCTAGTCAACCCAATTTTCTAGTTACGAATGCAAATTTGCGCTCGTGCATGCAACCTTATCCACAGTTCTTACCACTTCTTCGTCCACTAAGACCTTCCAGAGTAGAGACTCAATGTAGTAGTTTGTTCCTCCTACTATGACAGGCATCTTCCCTTGTTCTATCATGCTGTCGACCTGCAACGCGATGACAGTTCTATAGAGCAATGCTACTGTTATCAGCAATTACACATTAAATGGACTGCTGCCGTGAAATCGCATCCAGAGAGACATGATACAAGATTGCGTTGCACAGATTTTCTGTTGATCCTGAGCGCTGTGCGCGGATATAAGACGCGCAGTTCCGCGGGATGTGCACACGCGACCGCGGGGATGTTCAAGTATGAAGCGCTGTCTGCAGTAGAGGCGTGCGCCAAATTCGAGGCCCGGCGCACGTCTCCACAGCGGTCAGCGGATGGTCAGTAGTTTTAGAAAATAACAATGAAAGCTTTTGCCTATTGTTGCCGATAACTTCCTGTAAATGGCGTTCTAATGCTCCTCTGCAACACACTAGTAGGGCTGAGAGGGTCTATGTCCCCCAGGGTACTGCCGGAACATACCCTGGTTACGGTCCGGTATACCGGAACGTACCGTGGTACTATCTGATATGCCGGACCGTACCTCGCCTACTCCACTAACGAGTCTAGGGAGTCGCCTACGCCTACTCCCTAACCCTAACCCTAACCGTAACCGTAACCCTAACCCTAACCCTAACCATATCAAATAGTTACCAGGGTACGTTCTGGCAGTACCCTGAGGGACATAGACCCTATGAGCACTAGTAGGCCCTACATCGCACGCACGCCGCTGTGCACAACCAACTACTGTAGAATGTAGACCAGGTGGGAAAGCGTTCGAGATAGCCGAGTTCGTGCATGACGTCACGATCATACTCTGAGCCATATGCCGACCAAAGCGTACACGAGTAGTGGCGGCACATTGCATGCCGGGATGAGCTGCTGCCTGCCTCCCATATCCATTTCGAGGCCCGCTAAGCCAAGCATAATGCGTGCGGGCATGACGTCACACACATAGCTACGTTCATTGGCTAAAACAATCGAGTAGCGCGGTTAGAGATTTTCGGAAGAACTTGGAAGAAACTTCGGAAGAAATGTTCAATGAATGACGCACTCGTTCACTTCTGAAAGCGAGTAAAAATGCCGAACTTTTCCACTTCGATGCGAAATGCATTGGCCGGGCCTTTCATTATTTACGAAAAGCAAACAGTCTCGCCAAAGACCTACAGGCAGTAACGGGTCACGTCGTTGATGCCCCATTCATGAATAATAAACGAAGAAGACGGGGCTTATTCGGCATACGATATGGCAAAATGCGACGCAACGAAGGCGCGCAGTGCACTAAATAGCGCCTTATTTCGTATATATGGCAAACTCTATCGTATGAAACGGTCCTAGCGTAGTAGAATGCCCTATTTCCTGAGATCGGCGATTCCGTGCTCAATGGATCCCCACCTATAAAAATATAATAGAGAGGTGCGGCGTAGACTGTGATTGGAAGACACAAAGTGTCAACCCTCGGCGAGCCTCGTCATCATGGCCGCATCACGTCGAGCGATTGATTATGTGATTTTACCATTATAAACTTAATTCTACTATGTGGGTGATCAGTGCCTATGTGTTGAACCAAATAGTTGTTGTTCTGGAGCTTGAAAAAGAGACAGGTTCACGAAAGCTCGCATAATAAATGAAAGTGTCAATGACACTGTAGCTCACCATGGGTGTGATAGAAGAGGGAGGGGGGATATATAAAGCAAGAGTATATATGGGCGAATTCCCATTATATAGCATATCTCCCATTATATACTCTTGATAATGATATATGCATAAGTTTTGATGCGAAAATAAATGTTTCAGATCTGAAAGTCTGCAATCTTGACGAGAGATGGCGCTACGCCTAAATGATCGCCATTTTGGTTTTCGAACATCGCACAAATAAAAACAATAAAATATTCCAGTCAAATTACTGTAACGAAGAATCTAAAACACAATATTACACGTATATAGGTATGATTGTAGAGTTGTTGACCAGTTAGACGAAATAAACGTAATAGCTAGGACGTCATCTCTCCCATAGGTCATAGGAGTAACAACTGTTTTGGGGCTAGCCTTACAGTTACACATTCACATACCAAAATTTAACAAAATCAAATGAATTTAGATGGCCATTTTCATTTTTGCCAAAAAGTGGGCGTGGCTCAAAAGTAGGTCGACTGGCGTGCTCCAAAATAAGAAGTTGAAATCTCTCCTATAGGAGTAACAACTGTATTCAATTTGAAACATGTGGGTCAAACGGTTCTTGAGTTATCATTGACCGTAGGCAGACACTGAAATGCATAGTGAAATTGCCAAAATCTACATAATTTGCATAATTTAAAAAAAATATCAAAACCCATGTGATATGTTTTGGGGCCAGTCCTAATTCATTCACATACTAGAAATGAGCAAAATCCATTGAACCTGAACTGACTTATGGCCATTTCCATTTTTGCCAAAAAGTGCACGTGGCTCGAATGTAGGTCAACTGGCGTGCTCCAAAATAGGACGTTAAAACCTCTCCCATAGGAGTAACAACTATATGCAATTTGAAACATGTGGGTCAAACGGTTCTTGAGTTATCCTTGACCGTAGCCAAATGTTGACGGACGAACGGACGGACGGACGTACGACGGATGACACCCCATGGCAATAGCTCATCTTGACGATGTCGATATCAAGGCGAGCTAAAAATTGACACCTTATTCTATTTATATATATATATATATATAAACATATGATATTAAAAAAATGCAAAGAAGTGAGCAGCTGTCCGAGATCCCATATAATTTCTCTAGTATTTATATATAGGTAAAGGAAATGTATAGGAAATATCAAGCTACCAGCGGCAGGGCTCTGTTTCTGTAGTCAACCACAGTGTAGCGATCAAGTGGATCCACAAAGTCAATCATCTCATGTCGGCACATCATTCTCTCCTCTGGTGTCACCTTATTTGTGATGATGTCGAGACCTTTGTATATCTGTAATATATAGATAATATTAATTATAATTAATTAATAATAATATATGTGCGTGTAAATGCGTTGGTCGAATGTCAGCAAAATGCTCATCTGCAACACACAAGTACACCGCACGCCCGCCCTGTGCACAAACAACATGAATAAGAGAGATGAACTCTCTTATTCATGTTGTTTGTGTGCACAGGTCGGGCCTTGCGGTACTTGGTGTTGGGCAGATGAGCATTGAACGGCATTTATATGGATAATCACTTTAGAAGTAGTTTCGATACGTCATACTATCTGTCACTTCGTGAAAAATGAATCAGTCACAAGTTAATCATTATTTGTTAAATTTCATTATTTCTATATTCCAGGTGAAGAAGCCATTCAGAAAAACAGCTGCCAATTTGATCCAAGTGTCCAACTACAACAGAGCACTGTCTGTTCTGTGGGGGTCGAGCAAAGAAGTATTATCGGGTTGCTCTCAATTCTTTCGTTCGGAAACAAATTTATAAAGAAGTGAAAAAATTCAACAAGCAACTCGCAGGTAACGTAGAAACCGCTTAGAGTAGTCTCGAAATAGAACATTCGCAACAGTTGCTTGCGTCACGCATTGTGAAACAGAAAATCAAGACAAACATGCCTGTAGTGTACAGTGCGTTTTCGGGACTACTTGAAAAAAAACACACATTATAGATGGGGCTATCAAAAAAGGCTGTTGCTCTGCAACGTACTCGTCGCCGTGTTTTTTTACTCTAAGTCACGGTAGTGATGCCAGCGCCATCTATCGTCGAATAATAACTACCGTTGTTTGTACGATATATATATACGTGATTGATACGATATATACCGATAACCTAACCCTAACCCTAAACCTAACCTAACCCTAACCCTAACGTCTAAACCTATACCTAACCCTATTAAATTAATAAATTTTATTTAATTGGTGTAAAAATTAATTGTTTGTTATTAAAATGTTGTAATAAATGTAAATATTTGCGTTAATTGAAAAAACAATGTAAACAGATAAAGTAGAAAAATACAGCAACAGGAAAACTAATTAAAAACGGATGGGATTGCGATCCTGCGACCATTCATACTTGCGCCACGTATAACGCGTTACGCTGCTGGCGAATATTGAAAATTGAAATTTGATGTGTATGTATAATCGCGAGAAAACAAGCTCAACCAATCAGCAGGGGTCGAAATTAGATTTTTTATTAATGTATGCATTGGGATACGCAGTAATGAAATCTGTATCCCCCAAAAGATCTGGTATCCGGATTTTTTTTGGATAGTAATTCACTAAGTGTTGGTATCTCATTAAATTTTGAAAATGCAATAAAGCATTTGAACATTATAATTATGTAACATGATAATTATTATATAGAAAATCTCGCATCCAGGCGTCTAAATGTATGGCTGAGTGCATTCGCGACATTATTTTATAACATAGATATATAGCAACACAGGTGTTATTATAGTATATTTCGATATAACTATATGTATATATATATATGTATAGATATAATAATGTATATATTCTATATACTATATTCTATATTTACTAACCCTTTCACTCGTACACTGCAGCACGTAGTGTCTAGACGCTTGTCTGGTTCGCTTGATACAATCAATGATAACAATGTATACACAGTTCATCTAATTATGATCAACCATCGGCGCCGCTTGCGCTTGCAAATAGCTATGCTGCTTGTAGGTTAATAAAGCTAGTGTGCACTAGTAAAATTAGTACACAAGGGCCCGCGCACATCGCGCTCGGATCATGCACGCGCATCAGATGGCGTTCGCTCCTGTATAAAAGCTTGATAATCCACAACCATATCCCGATTATGACGATTTTTTTTTACTATCGGCGGGATACGCACGCATTGAAATCTGTATCCCGTCCACAAGAATCTGTATCCCGCGATATCGTGATATCCCGCTATATTTTCGACCCCTAGATTCAACGTCAGTACCGTCAGTACCGATGACTTTTCAAGAGAAAAAAAATCGCGACGTGTAGTTGTGCAGATAGTGACACGTGAGTAGAGCCTGTGAGCTAGACAGCGTGAGTAGTGACACTTCGCCATCCCAAAAAATGCCTATTGCAGACAAAAGCGTTGAGCTTCCGTTTGCAAGTCGCCTTGCCAATCAGGAATCCCTGGGCTACAGCGTTGCAGATTGAAGGCTATCCTAATAGTAGTACAGTACTACTACTAGAACGAGTAGAGGCTAAAGGTACCGACTGGTTACAGTCGCGTGTAGACACTCTCCGGCTCACGTAATGTTATTGAGCGAGATGGGATTGGGAACTCTTGTGCTAGGTCAATGGATTGGCGAACGCACTGCCACGGCAACTGGCATCACATGACCAGGTGCCGACGACTTCCTTTATTAAAATACGCTCATTGAGTCGGCATAAATTATTCCTCGTGAACTGGAAGTCGCTGCGCGATATCAGTCCAAGTTTACTTCTTCCGTTCCTGGTACTTCCTAAAATTCGACAACTGATGTAATCATGTTTCGCAGCGTGGAGCTGCCTATGTTATGTTACAAAAGCATGTGTCAATGCGTAGTGGCGCACCTTTTGTTAATAGGAAATTCGTTCTTCATATCGGTCCTCGAGAACGTTAATCATGAATTATATACCGGCGCCTACATAATATTAGCGATAAATGACAAACGTAATGAAATACATTTATTCTTTAGCGCTGACCGTTTGACTCGTACTTATTTTCTACATGCGCATAAAATCTAAATACCCGAAAGCATTGTACCGTACAAGTGCAAATAGCACTAATCAATATACCAATCATATGTTAAAGTATTTATTCTGACATCGGCGCGTTGAAATTTCGATATTGGTCATATATTAGATCACACAAATGTAGCATTAGAAAGATAATCAAAATGCTGGAATCTACGAATAAAAAACTAAATTATTTAATACGCATATAAACATTGGCATACATTACATTTCAGCAAATTATATATTTACTGCCAATTTGCGTTGGCGGAAAACTCTTAGAGGACAGATAATGTATATAGATCCTACAGATCAACCCACTAAAATTAAAATAACGTTGTAAGTGAATATAGTGATACATGAGCAGTTGCCTACTTACATATTCCAGAAAAACCATCGCAAGCCAGTATTCGATATATATTAAATGGCGTGCATATCCTCACAGATTACTTACAGTCACAAATTACAACACATATNGTGGCGAGAGTCTATGGATCCATATCGAATATTCAAGCGGCACGATGTCAAGAATAGAATCTTAAACATATATGATTCGGTTATTTGATTAGTGTATATTGTCACTTTACGGTACATGTTTCGGAGTATTTAGATTTATTTGGCATGTAGAAAAAGTAACCGACTACAACGTCAGCGTAAAGCATAAATGTATTTATTACGTTTGACATTTATTCGCCTAATAATTATTAGGCGCGGTATATAATTTCATATTAACGTTCTCAGACAGGCGATATGAAAACAATTTCCTTCTATTACAAAAAGGTGGCGCCACTCTGCATTGACACATGCTTTTGTAAAGCTAAACATGGCAGCTCCCCACCTCTGCGAAACATGATTACTCCAGTTGTCGTAATTTTAGGAAGTACAGGAACGGGGAAGTCAAAACTTGGACTGCATATCGCGCAGCGACTTCACGGGGAAATAATTAGTGCGGACTCAATGCAGGTATTTTAATAAGAACGTCGTCGGCACTGGTCAGTGTGCCAGTGCGTGGCAGTGGTTCGATCCAATCCATGGCGTAGCCACAAGTTCCAATCCCATCTCGCTAATAACACTACGTGGCGAGAGGTGTGTACACGCCGTGTAACAGTCGGTAGCTTTAGCCTCTACTCGTCCTCTAGTATATGTACTAGTCTAGACTATAGGATAGCCCTTCAATCTGCCACGGCTTGTAAGCCCAGGGATTCCTGTTGGCCAAGGCGACTGCAACGGAAGCTCCAAGCTTTTGGTCTGCAATAAGGCATTTTTTTTTTTGGGTGGAAGTGTCTACCAACGTGTCTAGCGATCACAAATGTAGCATTAGATAATCAAATGATGGATCTACGAATAAATAAACTAAATATTTATACGCACTATAAACATTGGCATACACGTACACTTTCAGCAAATATATATTTACGTGCCAATTTGCGTTTTGGCGGAAAACTTTAGAGGCAGATATATGTATCTACAGAGCAACCCACTATAAATTAAAATAGAACGTTTGTAAGTGAATATAGTGATGACAGAAGCAGTTGCCACGTTTACATTTTCCAGAAAACCATCGTCATGCCAAGTATTCGAAGTATATTAAATGGGCGTCAATCATCACAGATACGTTACATCATCAATTATCCATACACATACATTATACATTATTTACACTACACACGCGTGTACACAGCTTTCAAATTGTATTTGCCCAGATAATTGTGTGCGTACGATTCAAATGGTTATATATATATATATATTATGTTATTGAATTATTTACGAATTCTTCTAACCTGCGGGTAAGCAAGGTCAATTCAAAAAAGGGAATGCAACAGCTTGAGGCTAAATTGACCTTGCTTACCTTTTAATAATTCATATACAATTCCTCGAGCGGGCATATCACATGTTCTCACATGTGCATCACACTAAGTTTACATAAACAGGGGGTTTTATGTGACCTTGATCACATAGGCCTACGCACACACGCACGCACGCATAAATACCTAAATATCGCTTTCTTTTGACGACGTATTTCGTGTTGAAACATGTCCTCGTGCGTGTTTGAACACGATCTACGCCAACCGGCCTCTCTCTGCCTGCATCACTCCTAATACCATATGACAGAAGAAAAACGCTTACTCCCACGTCTCTCTCTCTCTCTCTCTCTCTCTCTCTCTCTCTCTCTCTCTCTAATCTCGCTCATCTCTTCTCTCTCTCTCTCTCTCTCTCTCTCTCTCTCTCTCTCTCTCTCCACGCACAGCCGCCTAGCGGACCCCTCCGTTGTTTGGGCCGCTGCTAACGTCTTCGTCTCTCATAGCCAATCCACGACCAGACAATGAGGAGAAAAATAAACGCACCCATGCAGTGCGCTGTGGGATGAGACTTCCAGCTTGTTCTACGGGGAGGCCTCCGCCTGATGACTAGCGAGATATCGCACCGCTGCGGTCTTTATAGGCTTAGGCCTTATTGCATGTAGCAGTTGAATCGAGATCGGTAAGGAATCTCACTCTGTTGTTCAACGACGTACGTGATTTGTCTCACAATGCACCACCAGCGACGCCACGCCGTTACGTTGTGCACAGATAACAATACGGCGGCGCGTTTTCGCGCACAAACGCCGACTAGGTGCACCAACTACGGTGCACCTACTATGGTGCACCTAGTCGGCG